ATATATATATATATAGATATATGTGTGTGTGTATGTGTGTGTGTATGCATGTGTGTATGTATGGAGAGAGAAAGAGAGAGGGAATGGTATCAAAACTGGTATCATCATCGTTTTCGAAAATCCTTCACTAGGAACCTTCACAATCTTCGCTATGCCGTTTCTTCCAAGTTAATCACACGATTAACGTTTACCATTTTTACAAACGCACATCCGAAACCGAACGACGCGTTTCGTCACGTGACAAGACTTCTCGACTCCGCGTAGGTTAGTTTCGATAATATCGAAAATATCGAAACTATCGTGAAAAGAATTCATATCGACCGAGGTTGTTCAAACTGGAGCAACCTTCGAGAGTTCTGTCGACGCGAGCGGCTGTGGTTGCGAATGTGAGCATTGTTTCTGTACGCGGTGAGTGTGTCCCGTGCGTCAATTCAATGTGCAGTTGTCAGTGGAGAAAGTATTTATTGCTCAAAAAACATCGGAAGACCGTGTGTGGAAAGGTAAGGCAGCAGGGAAAGATGCGGAGTTGGTAGGCTACGGGAAAGGAACGGGGGAGGGGCGAATGGATGGGCGTGTAAATTTCGAAGCGCTGGACGTACGTGAGAATGACGAAGAAAAAAAATGGATCACAGACAGGGTACTCCGCCAAGTCGAGCAGCACAAAGGAAAAAAAAAAAGCTGAAAAGAAACTCACGTCGTTCGGTCGCTGTATCACTTGCAAATGACAAAAATTAATAAATAAATAAATAAATGAATGAGAAAGGTAACAAGAAAAAAAAAAACAAACAAAAAACAAAGGACTCGCAGCGCCCTCCCCCGCGCACGCCGACTTCAAATGGTACTAATAAACCCAAAGTGCCTCTGGTAGATTTTTGGGCATAAGCTTGAGTAATAAAGACTACATAGCGTTTACTATAAAAGCACGACTACGACGCGATCGCTGATTGTAATAAAACGATGATAATAATAATTAAAGAAAGAAAAAAGAAAAAAAAACGAAAAAGGGAGGAGAAAAGAAATATAAAAGGAAAGTGAAACAAACGAGTGGGAAGGAGAGAGAGCGCTAGAGAAGAGAGAGAGAGAGAGAGAGAGAGAGAAAGACAAATAGAAAGTGAAAAATGGTGGCGCGTGTAACAAACATATACACGTGCTTGCTTATTGAAACCACAAAAGAAATAATAAGGAAAAAGAACAAAAAAAGTAAAAGAACAACCCGAAAGGCGGGCGGAGTGCGGGCGTACCGGGTGTACGCGGTGCGTACGCTAATTACACGTTTAGATAGGTATACATATAGTCGGTAGCCTAGTCTCTATGTCAGTGTCTGCCCTGAGTGTCTTTCCCATGGTGTATCCCTATAAAGTGCGTGTACCTTGAATTCCTGGCAAGCAGACGTGCAATTTTCCTGAAACGTTTCTCGATCAACCTTCCTCTTTGCCCGATCATCATCAGCCCTTAAAACGAAGGGGAACCCGCCTCTCCCTTCTACCAACGTCCTCCTGCGCCAACTTATCGCCCCCTTCCACCACCAATATCATCGTTATTATCATCAAATTCCCCCTCCCTTCGTAACGCGTTTAACTGTGCTCACACATCACGCGTCCTTCGCCACACTACCGATCGGCACGTTTTGCTAAGTAAATATTATTATTGTATCGATGGTTCCTCATTAATTATGGAATGTACGATCCCAATTTGTAAAATTCGAACTAAGTAAGGAGATGTGTATCGCCGTATCGTTCGTGCGTGGCTTGCTGCCCCGGCAGTCTACTACCGTGTATGCTGAATCGTATATTTGGAGAGAGAACGTACGCCTCAATCGAATGTCTCTGTCGAAGGATGACCGTGGTACGTATGAGCATATATTTAGGTCTTCTTGTTTGCCTTGTCTCTGCACAAGATCTGCTCGTGTCGTGTGTAAGTCTCGATCTTACGTCAATGGAATAATGGTACTCGATAAATGTTGGGGAGCGAGACCATTGGCACAGAGTGAGATGACAAATAAGAAGGACAGAATGACAGATCATTCGAGTGAAAGATTTGCATGAATGTTTGTGGACTGTGTAAGACTGAGAGAGGCAGCGGAGGGAGCTTGCCAATCAATCCGGGGTTGCTCCCTCGCCGCTCATTTTTACG